TTCCGGCCCGCAGTACTCTTGTTAGATTTGTGAAGGAGTTAACTTCAGAAAGAAAATTCATAGACTGGCCCCCGTCTCTGGAATATTGATTTATTAAGAGAAACATGTAACTAATAATTTTGATCACTTGGATGTCTGATTCAAAGTTCTAAACTAGGGGGAGATAAGCTAGTAGTAAAATACAGTCAAGAAATTCTTCATAAAATCTTACAGCCAGTCTAGAAAATCCAGTGCAACACATTATTTGCAACCCTTCCAGTAAAGATATGCACAAACAGATGAAATCTACATACAGATCTGTGACACAGAAAATCTGATATTTCTTTATCTAGCAATATTATGATGTCATCTACGATCCCTGTATTGTCTGAACTGATCCAGGTTGGAATAGGGTTATAAGAACTCTATACCAAAGGGACGTATACATATGATCATCCTACTTTTTGTTCTGTGAAATATGTAGATCAGACCTGAAATTTGTCATTGATATCACCTACATGTGTATAGACACCTTACATTTAGGTTGAGGAGGAGAATGGCCTATTTTTTGTGTTGTTTTTTTTTGTAGATTTAAAAAATACCAAAATCAAATTGCTAGGATTGTATACTTCACCGCTATTGATTATTCAGGTTTTGTGTTTGCTTTCAAGTTGTGACTAATTTCATTTCTGACAAGAAATATCCTACTGACTTATCAGAAATAGCCCGCCCTGGCTTTGAAGTTGGCTTTGACCTGGTTCTGACTGTTTGATGACTTGGGTAGGATTAAAAAACCCTGCAAGTCACATTTCGTATATCAATCATAGTCGGGCAGGTTTTTCTTGATCTTATGTAGATATTCCTAAAGCTGAAAAATGTTTAAAAGTGATACAAAAATAAATATTATAAACCTAAGTATCAGAGTTTAAAACAACATTCAAATTTCAGATGAAAGAAAACAGTTGCTGAGGTTATGTTAGAATTAATCTTAAATATCAAAAGTTTGAATAAACATATCAAATGTAGTTTTTTTTTTCAAGATATAGGTCAAAGTTTTTGTCATGAGTTAAACAGGTACTTATGTCCATGTGAAACTTCTTTAGTTTAAACTGCTGTCAGAGAAGATATTGATGTGTTTTATAAAAATTGATATAACCGGTATGGAAGTACACTTATGTATCAAAATTAATATAACCGGTATGGAAGTACACTTATGTATCAAAATTAATATAACCGGTACGGAAGTACACTTATGTATAAAATTGATATAACCGGTATGGAAGTACACTTATGTATCAAAATTAATATAACCGGTATGGAAGTACACTTATGTATCAAAATTAATATAACCGGTATGGAAGTACACTTATGTATCAAAATTAATATAACCGGTATGGTGCACTGATCCTATTGCATTAGGAGACCCATATGTTACCCACACACATGTTACCCACACATATGTTACCCACACACATGTTACCCACACATATGTTACCCACACACATGTTACCCAGACTAAATCCCAGACCGGTGGGGCATTACATATCACACAGATTTTTCAAATTTATCACTGTAGATTTGAAACTTTGTCAAAATTAAATCCTCCAGTGGAAATAAAGTGTTTTCATGGTCATGGTAACTGTAAGTTTAGAGATACAGGCTGGTGAAACAGATGTAAAACATTAGGTCTGTTTGACTGCTAGCCTCTGAGGTCAGAGGTCAAAGGTTATCTGTAAGGATCGAAAGACTATTGCAACACACATTAAATCAAACTCTACTACAACGGTTCAACAAAGGCACTTAATATTATTTGAAGAATTGAACTATCTAGTCGCTTGTTGCTGACTCTGCTTGAGGGATCTGTAGTTGGGCTCCTAATGGAGTCACTTGGAAAAGTGACCTATGTGGCGGTAACAACCATACCTGTCAATTCACATGAATGTGCACTTGTCCATCTGTAAATGACCTCAGTGATCTATGGTTTTAAATGACCTCGTTGATCTATGGTTGTAAATGACCTCGGTGATCTATGGTTGTAAATGACCTCAGTGATCTATGGTTGTAAATGATCTCTGTGATCTAGGTTGTAAATGACCTCCGTGATCTATGGTAGTTAATGACCTCCGTGATCTATGGTTGTAAATGACCTCGGTGATCTATGGCTGTAAATGACCTCCGTGATCTTTGGTTGTAAATGACCTCCGTGATCTATGGTTGTAAATGATCTCCATGATCTTTGGTTGTAAATGATCACCGTGATCTATGTTATAAATGACCTCCGTGATCTATGGTTGTAAATGACCTCCGTGATCTTTGGTTGTAAATTATCTCCGTAATCTATGGTTGTAAATAACCTCCGTGATCTATTGTTGTAAATGATCTCCGTAATCTATGGTTGTTAATGGCCTCCGTGTCCTATGGTTGTAAATGTCCTCGGTGATCTATGATTGTAAATGACCTCCGTGGTCTATGTTATAAATGCCCTCCGTGACCTATGGTTGTAAACGACCTCCGTGATCTACGGTTGTAAATGACCTCATTGACCTATGGTTGTAAACGACCTCCGTGATCTACGGTTGTAAATGACCTCGGTGATCTATGGTTGTAAATGACCTCCGTGATCTATGTTATAAATGACCTCCGTGATCTTTGGTTGTAAATGACCTCTGTGATCTATGGTTGTAAATGATCTCCAAGATCTTTGGTTGTAAATGATCTCCGTAATCTATGGTTGTAAATGACCTCTGTGATCTATGGTTGTAAATGACCTCTGTGATCTATGGTTGTAAATGACCTCCGTGACCTATGGTTGTAAATGACCTCGGTGATCTATGGTTGTAAATGACCTCGGTGATCTATGGTTGTAAATGACCTCCGTGATCTATGGATGTGAATGACCCCCGTGATCTATTGTTGTAAATGACCTCCGTGATCTATGGTTGTAAATGACTTCCCTGATCTATGGTTGTAAATGACCCCCGTGATCTATGGTTGTAAATGACCTCGGAGATCTATGGTTGTAAATAACCTCCGTGATCTATGGTTGTAAATGACCTCCGTAATCTATGGTTGTAAATGATCACCGTAATCTATGGTTGTAAATGACCTCCATAATCTTTGGTTGTAAATGATCACCGTAATCTATGGTTGTAAATGACCTCCATAATCT